AGGGTAGGGTAGGGTATAGGGTAGTGTAGGAGTAGGGTAGAGTAGGGTAGGGTAGGGTAGTGTAGGGTTAGGTAGGGTAGGGTAGGGTAGGGTAGGGTAGGGTTGCATTGAGTAACATCCTAACATACGAAGGGCTTGAACAACTCGCATGCATCACCATCATACATACTTTACAGTTCAATTAAAAGCAGTTTCCCAGTTCTACAAAAATCATACCAATAAAAATGCAAGTTTCTACACCCAAACTAATGCATCCGTTAATCATACATATCAAAACATACAGTTATCGCGTAAACCTGTACCTCTAGTCTATCTACTATTATAAATCTTAAAAAGTCCGCCGCCGCCGCCCACGCCGCCGTCGGGGTTACGCAGTCGGTGTTACTCCCAAAAACGCTTATTGAGGCGCCGTCGATTGACGCAGGAGGGTGAAATTTTCACGACTCGTGGGTCACGTAATTCAACAGGTCGTATTAAATTTTGGGCACGATGCGGCCAGGGGTGCACCCGTGGCGCGTGCTCATGTGCGCCATAGGGTTAGCATTAGAATCGCGACCGGCGCCGAGCAGAGGGCACGTGCTTTAGGCTCAGTTGTTCGCTTAAAAAACTGAGTGAAAGCATCAGAGCCGGAAGGTCGTTGACCTTTGACAACGAAGGCCGACACAGGGCACCGCTCGCCAAGGGGATTCGCCAGTAAATACAATTAATTTGTTTTTGCAATATCTCAGCCGTTTCTGGGCCGATTTAGCTGAAACTTGAACTGTCGGTGGCAGTGTAGGGTAGGGTAGGGTAGGGTATACGGTAGGGTAGGGTAGTGTAGGGTAGGAGTAGGGGTAGGGTAGGAGTAGGGTAGGGTAGGTTAGGGTAGGGTAGGGTAGGGTAGGGGTAGGGTAGGGTAGGGTAGGGGTAGGGTAGGGTATGGTAGGTTAGGGTAGTGTAGGGTAGGGTAGGATAGGGTAAGGGTAGGGTAGGGTAGGGTAGGGTAGGGTAGGGTAGGGTAGGGTAGGGTAGGGAAGGGTAGGGTAGGGTAGGGTAGTGTAGGGTTAGGGTAGGGTAGTGTAGTGTAGGGTAGGGTAGGGTAAGGTAGGGTAGTGTAGGGGTATGGTAGGGTAGGGTAGGGTAGGGTAGGGTAGGGGTAGGGTAGGGTAGGGTAGGGTAGGTTAGGGTTAGGGTAGGGTAGGGTAGGGGTAGGGTAGGGTAGTGTAGGGTAGGGTAGGGTAGGGTAGGGTAGGGTAGGGGTAGGGTTAAGTTCAAAAAGGGCCTAACATACAAAACACTTGAACATCCCGTACATATCACCAACCCTTACAGTTTAATTAAAAACAGCTACCCAAATCAATCCAAATAATACATCTAAAAATACAAGTCAATCACCCAAACTAATGCACCCGTAACATAACATAAATCAAAACATACAGTTATCGCGTAAACCTGTACCTCTAGTCTATATTATAAATCCTAAAAAGTCCGCCGTCGGGGTTACGCCCAAAAAGGCTTATTGCGGCGCCGTCGATTGACGCAGGAGGGTGAAATTTTTGCCACTCGTGGGTCGCGTCATTCAACAGGTCGTATTAAATTTTGGGCACGATGCGGCCAGGGGTGCGCCCGTGGCGCGTGCTCACGTGGTGTGCCATAGGGTTTACACTAGAATCGGCAACAGGCTATTGCTCGGGAACGGTAAGGGCTACGGGGGTGAAATTTTCGCTGTAAGTCGGACGCGTGCACTCAATTGTCGTATTAAATTTTCGAGGGTGTGGGTTCAGCAGTGTGCACGTGGTGGGGCCGCGACCGGTGCCGAGCAGAAGGCACGTGCTTTAGGCTCAGTTGTTCGCTTAGAAAGCTGAGTGAAAAGCATCAGAGCCGGGAGGTCGTTGACCTTTGACAACCAAGGCCGACACAAGGCACCCCTCGCCAAGGGGATTCGCCAGTAAATACGATAAATTTGTGTTTGCAATATCTCAGCCGTTTCTGGGCCGATTTAGCTGAAACTTGGACTGTCGGTGGTAGTGTAGGGTAGTGTAGTGTAGGGTAGGGTAGGGTAGGGTAGGGTAGGGTGGGGTAGTGTAGGGGTAGGGTAGGGTAGGGTATCTCAGCCGTTTCTGGGCCGATTTAGCTGAAACTTGGACTGTCGGTGGTAGTGTAGGGTAGTGTAGTGTAGGGTAGGGTAGGGTAGGGTAAGGTAGGGTAGTGTAGGGGTAGGGTAGGGTAGGGTAGGGGGGTAGGGTATGGGTTAGGTAGGGTAGGGTAGGGTAGGGTAGGTAGGGTAGGTAGGGTAGGGTAGGAGTAGGGTAGGGTAGGGTAGGGTAGGGTAGGGTAGGGTAGGGTAGGGTTGAATTGAATAACATCCTAACTTACAGAGGGCTCGAAGAACTAACATGCATGACTATCATACTTACAGTTAATTAAAAGCTGAGTGGAAATAATCAGAGCCGGCAGGTCATTGACCTTTGACAACGAATGCCGACACAAGGTACCGCTCGCCAGGTAGGTTAGGTATAGGCAGTGGCGGCGGAAGCAGGGGGGCAAGGGGGGCAGCTGCACCCTAAAGCTATGGAAAGGGGCGCCTGGAAAATCTGTAGAGGAGGCAGGAAGTTAAGAGGTGCGGCAGCCATAAAGCTGAGCAGTGCGAGGCGACACCACAACTGATAAAGGCACTTGTGACACGAAGAGGGTGGCAATGACGTGGGAAAAGTATCTTTTGATATGCTGAAGAGTGGAGGGCATCCTTCAGTGGCGGCGGAAGCAGGGGGGCAAGGGGGGCAGCTGCACCCTAAAGCTATGGAAAGGGGCGCCTGGAAAATCTGTAGAGGAGGCAGGAAGTTAAGAGGTGCGGCAGCCATAAAGCTGAGCAGTGCGAGGCGACACCACAACTGATAAAGGCACTTGTGACACGAAGAGGGTGGCAATGACGTGGGAAAAGTATCTTTTGATATGCTGAAGAGTGGAGGGCATCCTTATCTGAAACAAAGGCAGATGCTGCCGACCCTGTCGAATATAATCTTGCCAGGCGATAAATGCTAGGAGGGCGCAGCTACTCGAGAAGCGCGCCATGCGGAAGAGGGGCGCCTGCATGCGAAAGAGGGGCGCCTGTGTGTGGGACGAAAAAGAAACATTTATGGAGACGTCTTTGAAGGCGATAGCCTCCGAACGCCAACACGAACATATGAGGGCTTATAGCGTTGCAGGCTCCATGCGACAAAAAGGGGCGCCTGATGGCCGATATGCGAGAGGAAATTAGTTTGTGTAACATTTATCGGGGGCGGTTTGCCGTTTACAACATATGAATGTTAAGGGAGGTCCGAGATTGGGGCCTGTAAAATTGCACTGTCCGTATGGGCGGTTACACCCCTAGTGCTAGGGCGTATTTTGCGTTTTTTTTTTACTGGGGAGATGATTATGACCAGGAATAGCACTCTGCAAACTTCTATGGGCGCCTGTATAGGGGCGAAACTGATTTTCCAGTGCAGGGACGGCCATCGGCATGGTAAGGGGCGCCCAGCGGGAAGGGGCGCTTCAATATCGTTTGCACCCCTATCCTAGAATACCTTTCGCCGCCACTGGGTATAGGGTAGGGTAGGGTAGGGTAGGTAGGGTAGGTAGGGTAGGGTAGGAGTAGGGTAGGGTAGGGTAGGGTAGGGAAGGGTAGGGTAGGGTAGGGTAGGGTAGGGGATTGTAGGGTAGGGTAGGGTAGGGTAGGGGATTGTAGGGTAGGGTAGAGTAGGGTAGGGTAGGGTAGTGTAGGGGTAGGGTAGGGTAGGGGATTGTAGGGTAGGGTAGGGTAGGGTAGGGTAGAGTAGGGTAGGGTAGGGTAGTGTAGGGGTAGGGGTAGGGTAGGGTAGGGTAGTGTAAGGTTAGGGTAGGGTAAGTTAGGGTAGGGTAGGGTAGGGTAGGATAGGGTAGGGTAGGGGATTGTAGGGTAGTGTAGGGTAGGGTAGGGTAGGGTAGGGTAGGGTAGGGTAGGGTAGGATAGGGTAGGGTAGGGACTAGGGTAGGGTATGGTAGGGTAGGGTAGGGTAGAGTTAGGTAGGGTAGGGTAGGGTAGGGTAGGTAGGGTAGGTAGGGTAGGGTAGGGTAGGAGTAGGGTAGGGTAGGGTAGGGTAGGGTAGGGTAGGGTAGGGTTGAATTGAATAACATCCTAACTTACAGAGGGCTCGAAGAACTCGCATGCATGACTATCATACTTACAGTTAATTAAAAGCAGTTACCCAGTTCTTCACAAATAATACCAATAAAAATGCAAGTATCTACACCCAAACTAATGCATCCGTTAATCATACATATCAAAACATACAGTTATCGCGTAAACCTGTACCTCTAGTAAGGACTAAAGGTTGATCGTTTTCGAATACGCGCGAGAAGGGCGGTCGCAGTCATGTCGTGTTCGACTAAGTGCCATTTATAGCCAACGGTTATGCTTATATTTCATATTTGAATAAATATTCATTAGAAACGAGCTACTCGAGTGTTTCGTTCTTGTGAACATAAGATGTTATATGTCATCTACTTACTTGTACTTGTTGGGTTAGGGCGCATAGCCTCGTTGGGCTCAAGCGTCCATAGTTGTCGTCATCAGTGCGCCACTCTTGTCTCGATCGAGTCTGATGTTGCAGTCGGTTGCAGCCAGATGGTTCAGAGCGTTCAGAGGGAAACTAAGCAGATGAAGGAAAATGATAGGTTTAGCATGGGGATATACGCGGGCTTTGGATAATGTCCAGGCAGGAAATAACCGGTGGAGTATAATTAGTAAAGTTAGTATCTAACATATACCTGGTTAAAACTTAAAAATAAGAAATAAAAAGGTAGTTTCGGTTCTTGAGTCATTCAATCAATAACGTTCTTGACACCACATCTGTCCAGTGAGCTATTCCAGTTCAAAAAGATCTTCCGGCAACGTCTGCTCTTGGTACCTTACTCAGTTATCAACATGCGTTGGAGGGTTCATGATCATACCGAACCTCTACTTCGGAACTATGTGACTACTTCTACAAAAAGGAGCCAGATTGAACAAAAGAAGAAGGTATACTTCCAAGAGAAATCGAGAAAAAAAACTACAGTAGCAAACCTTCATTCATCCACTGACTGCATCCATCTCTCACACCGATGTATCTCCACTCACGCATCCTTCTCATTCAACATTCAATATCCATTCACTCATCCCCAAACAATGCACGACTGTTTACACACATGAGGACGTCCATAAGACCAGCCACAGCACAGAAACACAAAACACCAGAGAGACGACGATAAAGTGAACAATCAACGCAAATTACAACAGAAGGAGATCACGTCAATGTGCCAAATCGGCGGCACTGCCCTCCACATCAGTCGCGACTGGGGTTCGCCAATCGGCGGCCAAACTCAACATAAACCAATAATTACACATTTAAATAACTTAAAACACCAAAATCACAACTAGTTCAGCGCATATCATTGCAGTCACAGCTTTTTGAAGAGGTTGATAGCTCGTAGAAACCTGAAAACCTCGTCGATGACGTCCGGGTGATGATCACCCAGAAGAGTTTTAAGGGTAAGTGGAACATTCAATTGGAGGCACTTCCGTACAATCAATTGTCGATGGGTGGCATACGTTGGGCACTCAACAAGTAAATGTTTGACTGACTGGGGACACATACATCGGTCACATTCAGGTCTGGGCTCTCTATGTGACCGCATGTTATATGTCATCGCATCGCATAGTGCGCCGCAATGTTTTCGATCAAGAAATAGCCTTTCTTTATCCAGATTACTACCAATCAACGATTGAAACAGCCGATGGTTGACGATGTAAATACAAATTTAATGCTTTCGGCACGTTTCTTGCCCGCTTCTTACACCGATGCATGTACTTAGTTAATTATTTAATAAGTTCTTATTGCAATATTGTAATCATCGCACACATGCGTTATAATTGTTCACGAATAGTGTTAGAGCACAGGCAATGTAAAAACATTAAAACTTATGCTGGGAAGCGTGCAACAGCGCACGTTCCAGCTTAACGTATTGCAGGATCGTGAATGCTGAATACTGTGTTATGACTATAAGTATAGCCACACTATGTACCCTTTGTAGTAAGCATTACAAGTCTGCAGTAACCTATCTTACATAGCACAGGGTGGCAGCCGCAGGTCAGAAACAGAAACATGGACGGAAAAGACCCTGCAAAGTGCAATTCATATGAATACAGTCGACGATACTATCGTTGAATCGTCACGATAAAAACAAACGAATCAGCTGTATGAACCTCCGATGAAATCACGGTATTGTATGCAGTTGTATGCAGTTACATACCATCTGTTCAGGCATTGGTTCCCGCGAGTTCGCACGGGGAAAGAGTCAAGAATCAGCTCACAGCTCGGCGTTTTCCCTGGACTCGGATCAACATATTGTTGGTCTTTCTGTCAGAGATTGCATTTCAATGCCTGGCAACACAAGAGAAGCCGATACATCGTTAGACAAGAGTCATTCGGAGCGATGGATTAAACGCCTGAATTGTGTACAAACACTTGTACTGAAAGAAGTTTGCGTTCAAAAAGCATTTTATGTCGTAATAATTAGTTTGGTGTCTTTTGGCTTTATATTATAATTTATAAAACACATCAGTCGATAAATACATACATTCAGATTGTTTCAGCCCACATATATTTTTGATCACCTCGTTTTAGGTATCACGTTTGGTCATGTTTATATCATCTCGTTTTATGTCTCACCTCTTTATTTACAAGACGTGTAACTTTAAAACAGCCGCTGTAAAGTGGAAAGTTGCTAAAAACATGAATGAAAAAATGAATGTATAAACACATAGGTAAGCACCTGTCCATTACAGCGTGCTCACTGCTCACTGCTCAACCATCAATTATGCTCAGTTTCCTCACCTAATTGTAAGTCGGACGGAGGACTGTGCCGCCGTCTCCCGGGACGGCATTTGTTATTGTTGAGCGGCGCAGCTGGTAAGGTCCTGCTGTGTCCTCTGTTCGATGTTTCTGCGTCTGGAGACTCCTCAGTGAGTTTCGTCTCGGCGGATATCTCCTGAAATTACCGAAAAAACATAGTTGATCGCCGCATCACCGCTAAACCATGCTAGAGCGTTGCTTGGTAGAGGTGGCAAAAGATGAAAATTTTGGGAACCAGACTCGAACCAGACCCGACTGGACATTTCTGGAACCAGTCGGACCCGGTCTAAGTTTGAATCGGAACCATTTGGACCCGTTCCCAAAAAGTCAATTAATACAAATTACTTGTAGGTATCATTAGGTGCATAATGTAAAACAGCCTTTTCCCACTGAGAATACTCATGAGCTACTGTGTGTAAAGAAACATTCACTTCATTCACTTCATATTTTGCAATAATGTGTAGTGTGCAAGATGTATAGTTTATGATAATTGGTAGGACCCAGTTGGACCCGTCAGAAAATTTCCAGGAACCGGTCTGGACCCATATGGGTCCAGACTGGTTCTTTGGACCGGGTCCTCGGGTCCACATTTTGCCATCTCTATTGCTTGGTGTTCAGGACTGAATAGTTTTTACTTTCGCCGCCAGATGTCACGACTGACGAACGCCTAAAAGTAGGCTGTTCCGCATGTCACGTTTGATCAGAAGAGAACTCCCGCGTCACTATTGCGTGAGAAGATATAAGCATAGCAACAATATCGATCGAGTCGAGATCACAGCAGTGTACTGCTTTGTCCTATCATTGCCAAGCTGCTCAGGGCACCACTCAAAAGGAGAAAAATAATATATACTATATAGCTTATTGAGCAGTCCTAGCACATTCAAATTAATTGGAGATCTGTTGCGGTAGACGTTTCAACAACCCGACCAAGCGAGAAAACGATGATAAATCCTCAAACTCCAAGCATCGCAGCTGGTAAACTTCAAACAGATCCTGACCTTCAGTGATGGATTGGTCTCCAGCATCTGGCCGCTTTCAGACCCCGTTGCTGAAACCCTCAGCGACTGGATCACGTTGCCCTCCCGTAGGCTGTCGCCGCTGGCCTTCATCGCCGCTGAAGTATGTGAGGAAAACAATGATTATTTATAGCTCACCGATGAATGTTACCAGTGAACAAGTCATTATCCAATACAAGAACACGAAGCACATTCCTGTAGCAATGTTTCTACGAAGGAGAGTCGATAGATTTATGTTTCAAAGGTTCATGCGAAATTTTTCTTCGCATAGATCTCGCAAGCAGAGATGCGTCCCAGAATTTGCACTACCCTTTGCACCTTCCCCTTCAGCCCAACATTCACCAGCGGTTACCGACAAAACTCCTCAGTTCCGCTGATAATATATGTCTATTGTCTTGCCCTAAATATTCTCAAATTCCGTAAAGCGAGCTCCTACCCCGTCTCTCCCCGTCTATATTCACCCTTCAGTACACCGTTATACCGACCCACCTCTCCGTTTCGTCGCGGCGACTGAGCGACACCGGCAGGCGACGACCACAATTACGACCAGTATCAGCAGCCCACCGCTTACTCCCCCGACAACCGTCTCCAGACTGGTGGGGACACCGTCCGGCCCACCACCCGACGATGGGTGCTCCCCGGAAACGGTAGAGCGGTCCGTGGAGGCTTCTGGAAGAGCTGGGGGGGGGGGGGGAGGGAAGTCAGGCGATGGGGTCATACTTTGAACGTAAGCAAACTGAAAATTATCATGCTTTCAGATGGTAGATAGGTATGCTGCTTATCTTTCACTTGAAGAAGTTTGGAAAAAAAAAAACTCGAGAAAGATTATCATGAGTTTGTGGGAGAAGACGAAACTTTATCATAAGAATACCATCATTATCTGCGAGTGGCACATAAAAAACATGGGCCAACATAGCGTTAATTATGCGCGGAGACGGGATGACACTTTGTTCTTTCCCAGCAATTGAAACACCTACGCCTGCACCGCTCCGATTCCGCTCGCTCACCTCTCGTGGACTGGGTGACTATGGGCGAGAAGGTGGACACGCCGCCGGCCCTGTTGAAGGCCTGCACCTTGACCTCGTAGACGGTGGCCGGCTGCAGAGCTGTCAGGACGTGAGTCTTGGTCGTCTCGCCGAGCACAGTCACCTGGCGTCGCAGTCACCGGAGGAGGAAGCCGTCAGTGATACGGGCAGGGTTGGGTGTAGCTACATCTGGCTCAAGACGTCCACGTAGATAGCTGCTAATTTCAGTTCACTGAATACAAACCTTCATTTATACAAAATTATCCTAGAACTCAGGCTAATTTAAATAGAAAAACATAACTTTTACGAATGGTGTTTTATAACGATATGGTTCATGTTCAAAGATAAAGTCACAGGACGGGAAAACTCGTCTTTAATCGTTCTCGCTGGTTTGCGTTTTAGCTGTACACCGCAAACTACCCCTCAGTAACAGAATGATTGCATCCATTATTTATTACTTTTGCAAATACGCGTGGGATCATTTGTTTGGGCTCAAGAGTAGCAAAACTCGACACCTACCTTTGAGTAGCCGCCGGCGGTCGCCGCGTCCCGGTAGTGTATGAAGTAGCCCTGCACGGGTGCCGCTCGCACGTCGTGGTAGGACCACGAGCAGCGGATGGCCGTGCTATTGAGAGGCCACAGCTGGGAGATGGTCGGCGAGCCCGGCGGACGGGCCGTCTCGAGCAGCCGAACCATCCGCACAGTGCCAGAGTTCGGCCCGTGCTTGTTGTCCTTGTTCTCGTACACGGCCAGCACGCGAAACCTGGGAGGCAGGTGACGGTAACGTTTATTGATGATAAGTATTTTTCGAGACGTAGCATCAAATGTAAAAAATAAAACACTTTGGTAAGGCATTAATTTGTACCTACTTGATAAATATCTAAGCTCGTACCGAGAGAGATAGGACAAAAGCAAGTACGGGTGAAATAACAGTTGCGAACCGCAATCAGTAATTTACAGTTTGCACCAATTCATGGATAAGTCTATGGAAACACCATCCCATTAAATCATTCCCCTTCCCCTCTTCACCGATTACAACGCCTTCCATTATCCCCGAATCCCCTCCAGTCGACCCTGGACCCAGGACTTACTTGTACCTACCGCCCAGATTGAGTCCGCTGACCTCGAACGACCTGGCCGTTCCCGGCACGTCCGAGTCGACTGTGTGCCAGCCGTGCCTACGGCGCGGCATGCGCCGGTACTGGATCTTGAAGAAGAGCACGGCCAGCCCGTCGTTGGGAGGCACCTGCCACTGCAGCATGACTGCCGACTCGGAGATGGGGTACACGGCCGGGGCGCCGGGCGGCACCAGGAGGACTGCGGGCGGCAGACGGTAGACGGCCGGGGCGCCGGGCGGTACCAGGAGGACTGGGGGCGGCAGACGGTAGACGGAGGGTTAGGTAGTCGGCCGGGGCGCCGGGCGGTACCAGGAGGACTGCGGACGGCAGAGGGTGGACGGAGGGTTAGGTAGACGGCCGGGGCGCCGGGCGGTACCAAGAGGACTGCGGGCGGCAGAGGGTAGACGGAAGGTTAGGTAGACGGCCGGGGCGCCGGGCGGTACCAGGAGGACTGGGGGCGGCAGAGGGTAGACGGAGGGTTAGGTAGTCGGCCGGGGCGCCGGGCGGTACCATCAGGACTGCGGGCGGCAGAGGGTATACGGAGGGTTAGGTAGACGGCCGGGGCGCCGGGCGGTACCAGGAGGACTGCGGGCGACAGACGGTAGACGGCGGGTTAGGTAGTCGGCCGGGGCGCCGGGCGGTACCAGGAGGACTGCGGGCGGCACAGGGTAGACGGAGGGTTAGGTAGACGGCCGGGGCGCCGGGCGGTACCAGGAGGACTGCGGGGCGGCAGAGGGTAGACAGAGGGTTAGGTAGACGGCCGGGGCGCCGGGCGGCACCAGGAGGACTGCGGGCGGCAGCAGAGGGTGGACGGAGGGTAAGGTAGACGGCCGGGGCGCCGGGCGGTACCAGGAGGACTGCGGGCGGCAGAGATTCGACGGAGGGTTAGGTAGTCGGCCGGGGCGCCGGGCGGTACTTACCAGGAGGACTGGGGGAGACAGAGGGTAGACGGCGGGTTAGAGGAAGCGGGAGTGTTCGTCAAGGGGTAAAGATGGGATGCCTGGATAGAATAAGATAGTGTAATAAATAACTTATTTATTACGTTATGGCCGAACTAAGACGGGTAGGAAAAGCCGGAATGGTTGAGAAGGATCGGGTTTGGTGGGGATAGAAAGCGAATTCTAGTCGACCGTTACAAAAACAAAACTCATCAAGAAACTGTCAATGTCTGCCAGGCAGCATCGTATAAGGTTAACCACAGATAACAGTAGTAACTACTACTGTTATTTGTGGGTTAACCATATACCAGAACTTTGCTAATCATCGGAGTATTTTAGGACGTCTTGCGGAGATCCAGTTCTGATAAAAATTACAAGAGGTTTAAGCCACTGTTTAGTGGAGCGCTGCTAAATACATGAGAAGAAATGAAAGGAAGTGAAACAACTGATCCATAACGTTTATCCCTGACCTGTCGGCCGCCGGTCACTGGTGTCGTGCCGATCCTTGAATGACTCCAATGACGCAGACGGACGCTCCTCCGACACCGTCCTTTGCGGAATAACCTGTCGCGATGTAGAGACATGGCTCATACAATATACAATGGGTTTTTACACATGTATTTTTAAGAAATGGAAGGCATATGTCACTAAATCCACTCAACTGTTAAGGACTTATTTATGGATAATGCTAATTCAGTACGGTACTTTTGGAGGGAAACGTAAAATAATAACATCGACATAAAATAAACTCAACAACCAACGTAACTCTATCAGATGCTTCTAAAATCAGGTAAAACTTTGAAAACATGTTAACATCAGCGACACAAACAATAAACCTTTTTCCTAGTTCCCTGTTAGTGAGCTTCTTTCGGCTTATTCTGTAATTAATACACTCAAATATAAATTAACCCCACGGGCCACGACTACCTAAGTATACCTTCTACCTTAAGCAGCACTGCCGCCTTGTCGTCACCAGTGGCGCCGTGTCCGAAGCACTGATACAGGCCGGCGTCCTGTCGTCGGACCGCGCGGAACTTCAGAGCACGTCTCCGCACGTGATTCCGCCCGCTCTGGGCCCCGGCGGTGTGTCCCTCTGCCACCGCCAGCACTCCCTGCTCGTCCCCAGACTTCAGCTCTGTACCAGTCTCCAGCTCCCGCCCCGATACTGCCCCAGTTTCCCGCTGCTGTGCTGACTCCGGCTCCCGAGCGGTCTCCGTCTCTGGGTCTGGCTCGGTAGAGGGCACGGGTCTGCCGTTGAAGACCCAGGTCAGCTCTGGAGGCGGCCAGCCGCGACCGGAGCAGAGCAACTCGACTGCGGCGCCCTCGGGCACCGACAGGTCCGCGGGAGACGTCCACACAGACACAGGTGCTGTAAATGACCAGAGGAAAGCACAGGCGGGGTTTATGAAAATCAAATTTGACGGAGGGTGTGTTATATACAGTTACGACACTAAAGAGATGGGCATGGATCGCAATATTCTCTCACTCGGTCAAAGACCTCTTTAAAAGTGGTATGCATAGGTCTACCACTCGACGTTTATAAATAGCGTATTGCGTTTGGAAAGTAAATATTTTTTTAAGAATTCATCTTTTTTACGTCTTCCACCGTTTAAATTCCAATTCTGTCACTCACCAGCGACCCTGACCTCTGCGGCGGCGGTGACGGCGCCTGCCTCGCTGACCGCCTCGCAAATGAAGGTGCCCTCGTCCTCGACATTCAGATGTTGTATCGTCAGAGCGGCGACTCCCTGGGAGTAGCGGTCGGACCACCGCGCGCCGAGCGTGGACCGGCGCCAGGTGACCGTCGGGACCGGCCAGCCGTCTGCCGCGCACTCCAGCCTGGCCGGGACGGGACGAAGGGACAGGTTAGTCGGGCGTGGAACATATAACGAATGGAATGTGGAACGGATCGGCAAGTGTATAGTTACTCCAGCAAGTGTCAAACGTAATAAACTAAATACTTACAGGCCTGATCATTGACCAATGTCCCCACCATGAAACCCAGCACTAAGCACACATCAATCATCAGCCACGATCGGCAAGGATTTGGACAAGCCCAGCGCCCACTACCAGGCGTCACGTAGTTTGTATTTTCCCGCTAGATGGCAGCAACAGTTAGCGCCTGAAGGTATGCTGTGCCGCAACGCATCGGGCGACGCACAACGCAGACAAATAGTGTTAGGCGGTAGGCCAGTTATTTTTCAAACCTAAGGAAAGGAAGTGATTAAATATGACTCAACGGCATGAACATCCACCAAGTGCGCAGTTTTCTATTTAATTCTAACCTGACGGTGTCGCCCTCTGCCGCCCAGTACACCGGCTCCGGAGACACCACAATACGCGGTGGTTTCTTCGGCCATTGCTCGCCGCTGCTGACGACAAGTCGGGTGACGAATGGCGCTGACGTCTTCTGTCTAACACGTGAATTTGTAGCCACACAGGAGTACGTCCCTGCGTGCGTACTGCTCACGTTTGAGATGAACAGGCGACCTCCAGAGAGTAACTGGTGACTGTCTGTCGCAGTCAGAGGGTGGAAACGGGGCCGAGTCACTAAAGGGACTCGGTGAAATGAGGTCCCGGTCACAGGCAGGTCGAAACTCGAAACGAGTGATGAGTCATGAAAACAGACTCAATCGAACGAAACGAGAGCTCCATCGGTACCTAAACATGTAGTCATGGACATTGGTCACCGATAAATGAACCGAGCGACAAACCAGCACAGGCATCTTAACAGCGAAGAAAATAATTAAAAGTGATTGTAGTAAGCCATAATTATAAAGTATCGATGACATAACCCTGACAGAACTTGTGACATAACCCTTTAAAGCGTTCAATGGCACTATTTAGTTTACGTTACCTCCATCGCTGGGCAGCGCCTCTCCGTCCCTGTAGAACCGAATCTCTGCCGGCGGGGCGCTCTCTGGCGGCGGGCACCTCAGAAGGACAGCGCCGCCGGTCAGCGCTGTGACCGTGGCGTTTGGACGCGCCACGAACTGTCTCAGGTGCGCCACAGTGACCACCGCCGGCAGAGAGGCCAACCCAATCGGGGCCATCCACGCCATACACTGCCGATGGCGGAACATGGAGACAGATTGGGAGAGTGCGGCAGGGGAGGCCTGATCGATGATCATGACTTTACAGTTTATACAGATAGGTACATGACACGATCAAACAAATTGATAATGCCGCTATATCGTGCGTCATACTCGTATACACGACGCAGCCGGCTTAATTAGCTAAATAGAAGCAGCTCTGCCATCGTATTAAATGGATGAAATTGCATCGCTAAAGCGCATAACAGTAATCCATGCATAGTTAAAAAAACGTCTTCCGGCAATTGCTGTGGAATTTTGTTGGAAAAGTCGGCAAGCTTGCATTTTACCTTTTTCTTTTCATTGCAGATATCAGAGCAAACACGTGTCCCTGAACACAGCCGTTACTCTACCAAGGACGTGTGTGCTCTGAAGTCCGATGAGAAGAAAAAGGTAAGGTCGGAAGCTTGGCTGTACCGGTACCGTACATACTACGTACTGTTTACGACAACTGACCCGGTACTCGCCGTCGAGTTGGCCGTGCTCTCCCAGCTCCCCTTTGGTCTGGAGCCGGAGCCGGCCGGGCTGGAGCTCCACCGCGCCGCCGTCACCAGCGGGTAGAGGTCGCCAGTTGTGCAGCCAGCTGAGGAGCCAATATTTGTATTTGTATTTGTATTTACATTTAAGAGCGATCCACAATCAACATGCGTGGCGATTACTGCTCAGAATCCGTATCCGCGGTTACTAATCTAATCATTCATTCATAACATTTGCACATTCACTCACGTCAAAACACGGACAAAACAGAACAAAACACATTCAGGAGAGCCTCGTCCCTCTTACCCACCCCGATACTGTTGGTCAGCGACGTGCTGATTCACCGTTCACGATCGCGGCTTTAACAGAGCGGGCAAAGCGGGCGGGAGGCAACTGCGACAGGTGAGGTGGTAGGCTGTTTAGCAGAGCTGCAGCTCGATAACCGAACCGCCGCTTGCCTGTTTCCAGGCGCGGACGCGGAAGATGGAAGAGGTAATCTTGTCTGGATTGTCGCTCGCGGATAGCGCTGTTAGTAACGAACAGGGCTGCTAGCTCCTCGGGTTCTCGACACTGTATGGCTTTGTGTGCGATGACAAGGGTTTGGTAATCGGCCATACCGCGCGTGGATAACCAGCCGAGTTTTGTTCGCAGGTCGGAGACATGGTCAAATTTACGTCGGCCGAAAATAACTCTAGCGGCGAAGTTAAGGATTTTTTGGAGTCGATCAAAAATTTTTTGGGACCCATTACCATAAACTGACAGGCAGTACCGGATACGCGATACTACGAGTGCCGTCACGAGCATTCTAATGATGCCATCTGGGAGACAGTGGCGCGCGTGTGAGAGACCAATCAACAGACCAGTACACCGGCGGCAGAGTTCGGAGATGTGAGCGTCCCATGACAGAGTGCAGTCGAAAGTGACGCCAAGGTTCCCCACCTGTGCGCACGGTTGCAGCGCTGCGTCGCGGAATGATACTCTAAAGTCTGGTAATTTGCGTAGCTTTTGACGACTGCCAAATACAATGAGCTGTGTTTTACTTGCATTCACTTTGAGGGCGTTAGCGCAGAACCAATCGTTAAGTGACGCGAGCGAATCTTCCATGCGCGAGATGAGAGCTTCGAGGTGCCGAGCTGGACCACTAACCAATACTTGTGTGTCATCGGCATACTGAAACACATCCGCGTCGCCGGCGTATAGTGATAAGTTGTTAGAGAAAATGGTGAAAAGAAGCGGTCCTAACGCAGAACCCTGGAAGACACCCATGGTATTCGAGAGAGGTCGAGACAGTACTCTACGCCCGGATCCATCTTTCAATGACACGCTCTGAGTGTGCCCATGAAGATAGGCGGCGAACCAGGAAATTTCGATGCCGTGCAACATCAGTTTTTGCATCAGAAGAGCATGGTCGATCACGTCAAAACATTTACTGAGATCGAGAAGGCACAGCATTGTCAGATCCCCTCTGTCGGTGGCGGCCAGAATGTGTTCAGTGACGGACAGCAACGCGGTTTCCGTGGAGTGCCGAGGGCGGAAGCCGTGCTGTGAGGATGCCAGAAGGTGATTATGAGAGAGATAGGCGTAGAGCTGCTGATGGACAATGCGTTCAACTACTTTCATGACTACAGGAACCAGGGATATGGGTCGAAAGTTTGCGGGGTCTGAAGGGTTACCGGACTTGAACAGTGGATGAACTATGGAATGTTTCCATGAGTCAGGGATATCAGATAGGATTAAGCAGGTGTTAATAATATGCAAGATGACACCACCAATAGCGGGAAATCCGACTTTCAGCATGCGGACGCAGACGTTGTCGGAGCCGCAAGCACTCGAGCTACGCATGTTGAAAATAATCTGCTCGAGCTCCCCCAGTGATATCTCACGAAGTTGAAAACCGCATGCGCCGACACGGGTGAGACGCACATCCAAATCGGTGGGAGCGTTTTGGACTCGGATCTCGTCAGCGACACGAGGACCGACAGATACAAAAAAAGAATTTAAATCATCAGCAGATAGATCGGGTTGGACATCAGGACCGTCCTTCTTCGCGGCTACCACTGACCTGATGCATTGCCAAACTTTGTTAGGGCCCCGCTCCCCAATTTCCCTCCGCAGCTCTACTCGCCGGTCTCGACGCACTGCCGCCCGGACTGAGCGGTTAAGGTCTCTATACTCGCTCGAGTTGCGGCCTAGATGGCGAAGCGCAGCGCGACGTTGAGACATGAGGTTACGGGTGGCGGCGGAGACGGGAGGAGCGGTCGGGTTACGGATAGACACACGCTTAATTGGGGCATGGGCATCAAAAACAGGTACGAAAAATGACAAGAAAACATTCCACTTGTCGCTGACGGTTTCGGCAGAGAAAACATAATCCCAGTCGACATCGAGTAGGTCTTGATACAGTGCAGGGTGATCTAGGCGCTTAAAAGAACGAGATGAGATAACAGTGGGCTTTTGACGCACTTTCGGCACATTGAGAATGACATCAATGAATTTGTGGGGACTGAAGTGACAATAATCAACACGGGTGTCGCACACCAGTTCACGGTTGTTAACGATACATACATCCAAGAGGGAGCCGGAGGTGAAAGTACAAGTTGTTACTAATTGATGTAACGAGTAATTCGATAGGAAGCTGCTTAGGTGTTGACTAGCGCGGAAATTGGGCTCCTTCAGTAAATCACAGTTGAGGTCGCCGCAGATAACGAGCGGAACACTGGGGTAATCGATGAGGATCCGCTGCAGCTGGGCCTCGAGGTCCGTGAAATCGGCGAGCAGGGCTGCCTCAGAGTGTCGGGGTGGCCGATACAGGGAGCAGATGATTAGCTGCCGGCCCTGGTCCAGCTTGAGCAGCGCCCACTGCGACTCCAGCTTGCTCTCGGAGCACCCGCTGCCCGGGATCTTCAGTGTCGTTGATCTTAAGCTGTTTTTAGTGATGATGGCGACACCGCCATAACCGCTGCCATCTGGACGGTCCACGCGACTGAGCGAGTAGCCAGGAATGACGAGGAGGCGTTTCGGGGTAGACGGACGTAGCCAGGTCTCGGAAAGTAGCATTACGTCGTAGCCGCGACGATCGAGTTCGCACGTCAGCTCTTGAAGTTTGGGTTTGATACTCTGGATGTTTAGGGCGCCGATTAGTAATTTAGGCGGGTCGGTCGGCCGACTGGACTGGAGAGTCCTGCGTGCGGGCCGGGGTCCACGTGCCGCTTCCGTTGGGCTGAGGGGGCGTGACCGATTATGACGGCGGATGAGATGGGCGGGAAGACTGCGCCGGATAGTCTCGGCTACTTCCCATGTGGTGTCGTTGCTTAGTCGGTCACGCACCGCCATCAGCTGTGCCAGGTCGTATGCACATCTGGCAGATGCCGCACTGTGGTCGTCCCCTCGGTGATCGTTGGCCGGTGTTTGGCACCCTACACGGCGAGACCCTGAGCTGACTAATACAGCGGTACTGTCAGGCAACAGCACTGACAAACAGGTTCTGCTCACTGCTCAGCACTCTCAGTACCTACCTACCTATAGCCGCAAACGCAATTTTTGTTAGTTATTTCTACATGAGCTGCTGTGTCAGCCTGTCTATGGACGATTTACTTTCCGGCGCGCAGATCACTAATTCAGCTGACCTTAGCTGGTCGACAGGCAGATTTGTCGCGCAGCTGAGTACCACCTCTTCACCGGGCGATACCAGCGCGGACTGAGGCTCTTCAACGAAGAAAATTCCCAAATCTGCAAGTGATACAAGTTAATGCGTTATCCACTCAGATATAGGTATCAACCCTAATAAAAACAAACGTGTGAACAGTGCGCACCCCAGTTCGAAGAAACATCAGGAAGCCGGCCAGGCAGGACCATGCGATACTAAATATAATCAACACTTATTGAGTTGAAGTGTTTTAATTCTTTGACTTTTTGACATTAGTTGTTACATTATACAATGGGTCAACTTGTTATATGACGACGCAAAAAAAGAAGTATTCAATAACTATGGTTGGTGGTATACACTGGAGGATAATGCAATGCCAAGACGTAGGTATGGTAGTCTAAAGCTGCGTATGCATTTATGACAAAGGAACCGAACCAATGTAGAAAACCGATAGTTCCACGGTTAAAATCCGATAAGCTTTGACGGCGCCCGAGCTGACCCATCAGGCCATTAGGTATTGCGCTCCGCTGTCCGAGCGCCAGCCATCCGATTCCCATTAAACCGGCGACAGACTGCTGCATAATGGATTGCACTGCAATGAAACTCCCACCAGGCGATAGGGGAGCGACAAATGTTGGCGGCATTGACCGGTGCTGAAATTGGCGTGCCATTCAGTCGGTGCGCTCGGGCGGACACTGGCGGCCGGGCGGCCCCCGGCTGACGGCGGCCAGGGCCCGGGCCGGGGCCGCGGCCCGGGCCGTTCCAGCACGTCGCGTCGGCCGGACTCCGGGCGCGGAGACGCCGTCCGAGCCCGCCGGGCACCATTCGTTCACACCCTTCACCCGTTCGAGCGACGGCAGACGGCCTCAAGACTGACTGGTAATCAGCGGTTACCACCGCACCATGGCCGCTCAACGAATTCACAATAGCTAATGGTCACGAACGACGGAGGATAAGCGATTATAGCACAACCCAACCCAACCATAAAAGACACTGTTCTTTTGTGGCGAAAAATCGGAACACTAAACAAATTTTGACGGATAAAAACAATATAAAACTTCAAAGAGCTGAATCTATTACTTGAATAATATGTAAAAATGTCCATACAGGCCAAAGAAAACTGGAGAGAAAAGGCAATTCGTGAGTTTGTTTTCGTTCCAATTCGTAAGTTATTCGACTCGTCAATCCACAGCTAAGGATATGACGAGCTTACATAAGTTGCACGGAAATGTTGTTATTGAACGTTTTATGCGCGCAATCATCAGCTTGACGAACTAATGTGACAATATGATAGCCCTAAGCAAGCGTAATTTGGCAACGGAGCAAGGTAACTATCTTGGACGATGAATTCCGTCCATTTACCTGGTTTTCTACTTATCCGTCTACCTATTACCGCCACTCATTTTGGCGACGTTCGCCGGAGGCCTAACGATTTCCGAGGAGAAGGTATGTGAGCCGGGTGATAGGAACACATTTTGTGGTGCAATGCACCGTTCCAAGCCCAAGCGACACGATATATAAATTAAACCACGCATGAGGCCTGGCTGCACTTTCAGCGATAATGAACTTGGTGGGAATGCGGCCAAACATAAGCATACATACTCAGCCATAGTACCGGGTAAACCTCAGTTGTCAACCATGAAATCACAAGATTCGTAGCTTCCTGCTCCAATCATGTTAAAAGCACTTGTAGGGTTGGGCAGATAAATTGGGACAAATTTTAACTTTCTCTAAAACGACTATTTTGAGTGATAAAGATAATTTTTGAACATAAATATAGGCTAATGAATACGTTTCCATGTTATGCAGGTTGCGTTGCAATTTTGAGTCGGCTGGTCACAGAACGTGGGCTTAAGCAAGCCACTATCAACTTAGTCCGCGCGCACATGCGTGCCAATACTCTAATTATGCTCCATCAAATGGCTGAAAGTAGTGTGTATCGAACAGACGTAAACGTTGGAGGAAGAGATGATATTGACTCATCCTTACATACCAATTGCATTGACACCGGCCGCTCCCCCGGTTCTCCAGGGGGGCTAAAAGGCAAAATTCAGTTAAATCAGAGGATCCTCGCGAAAACAGTGGCGCGAGCTTACAACGAAGGTAGCCGCACCATGAGAAAGCGATATACCAGCACCTCAAACATGTACTCTTATGCATTGATGCATATCAACCTGTCAACAAAGATGTTGAAGCAGCTGTGACGTTAAAAAATTGTTTCCTCTTGAAGGGCTTGGAGAAGCGAGCAAGCATGTGCAGGTCTTTTTCGACGACGGTATCCCCATAACCGAACATATGAACAACCGCAAACATCATGTAACATCGCAACCAGCCCAGAAGACGTGATCTTAGTTTTAAAAAAGAATGCAGCAGACATCGGTGATGGTATTCCACTCGGTGACTTCCATGACGGTCACGTGGGGCCCCTTTATTTTACGGAACCGGGAGGGGGTTCGCCATTACAGGGTACCTAACCATTATTCCGGCAGTTCGAATCAACAAGATGAAAGAAGGCAACATCCTGCATGGAGTGATGCTCTTCGAGGAGTCAGCTCCCCGGCATACAGTAAATTAAATACAAAATCTCCTGAAACGGAGGATCCCGCAAACTGTACCCATTGGAAAATGCCCCCTTCCTCATTAAACCTCAGCCCACACAAGTTCTGGTTGCTGGGGCGTTTTTGCGGGTGAGCCTAACGAACGTCCCCATATGACTGTGGTGAGCCTCAGCAGTGTCAGTTGGCTACAATTACGAGCCATTTCAGACGGGAGATCTCGCCGCGCGTGCGACCATTCCAGGCACCGATAAGGACTGATGCAGGTGGACCACGGTGACCATATTTGGTGAAAATGTGTAAAATTGGTGTGACAATATGTGATCCAAATTTGAAATGCCTATGTTTACAAATTTCTAAGCTACGGCGTTCTAAATGCAAATATGTATTTTGTCCCAATTTATCTGCCCAACCCTGTATGCTTGGGAATGTAAGCGAAAACGCTTATAGTGTCTGTCTGTCATGAATAATGTTATATTGAAAGTTCGCTATATGAAACGATCCCGTTTGAGGTATAGCTACTAATTATCCACACTCCACTCCCTCTGAACCTATCTAAGCCACTCCAAGAAGGCGAATTACTAAATGCTGATTCGAGTGATCTGTCCCGCGGCCCGATATCGTGTCGCAAAAAGATCACTGTCGACTACATACCGCATATGTACTGGGCAGGGAAGTCACAACTCTCAGCCCTCAAGGGTGGATGTATTAGCACTTGCGAGTCTCATGAGGGTTCCATGGTATTCAACACGTGACCTCACAAGGTTCTGCGGCTAAAATAACCCAAGGAATAGCCTGCCTCTGCTGTGTCGGTTGCTGGATACCGACTGGCCACGTAGCCCCGAGTACCATAGCAACTCGTAAACAGATTTGGTGCCTTGGTCCGCAATGCACATTGGCATCTGGCTGATGAATCAATGGGTGAGTATTGATAGTCAGGGGAAGGAGGCCCAATTTTGGGCCGAATAACGCAAAATTGGGTAGAGCTTAGCAAAGGGTGGTTTCTGGGACAAAAATGACCGCTGAATCCGAATCTGACCGGTGCGCACCTCTAACTAATGTTGCACCACTTCCAGAGCTCGTGCAACTGCGTGGTTCATCTTTTTTGGAGAATGGTACCTTTTTAATGAATTGCAGTGTAACGTCTTTGATATTTGAGATATTGTTTTGAGATTTTGTCCCTGTGCTACAAACACATGGCGTAATTGAAAGCTGAAGTTTTGCAATGTTCGGGCAGCCGATGACGTCACCGTGACGTCATTTACCTATAAATGAGTTGAAAAAGTCGTCTTGTCCTTAAAGCATTTAACTTTATTCCCGTCGTATGCAAAGCAGAGAAGGGAAAATAATCAAACATGATCTATGAACATTTCTGAGTCGGATCATGCTAAAATCGTTTTTGCAGAGGTACATGTGAGTCACATTGAGAACGTGACAGTCCAAGTCACCACCTGACAAATTCGGTCAAACTGGATGAAGTAGTACAGCAGATTGATGAATCACGTGAAATAGGATATTTTTATATCATTTTTACCGTGTTCTGGCGCTGCGACGGCATTTAAATCAAAATACTGTTGGCGTTGAATTGACTAAATATCGTTCCTTTGGTCTTATTTATAGTTCAAATTGTATAATTTCTATTTATTTCAAGTAAATATCCATTCCTATGAATAACGGAAAGTCAGCGTGGGTTCAGCCTAGTCGTTACGTGCGTTTGGCTAGCGATAAAAAAATATCCAGAATTGTGCTTGTCATGAAGACTGGGAAAGAAAATAAACAGCTGTGGTTTATCAAAAAGAGCAAAAATCACCTTTGTAAGAAAGTGAAATATCTTAGATATTTGAGGAAAACAATCC